ACAACTTCGGCTAGGTTCACGGTAACAGTGCTTCTGGTAATCTCGCCGCTGGTTGTTCTTGCGCGCCTGTCTATAAGCCGCCCTGCTGGTCAAGCTTTTGGGGACTTACGAGCTCCTTGGATGGGACTTGTAGTGCATTCCACATATTTGGAGATGTTGGGCGGCCCATCATTATTGTTAATCATTGGTTAGTTACCTTTTCAAATTGAGCATCCTTGGATGGGGCTTGTAGTGCATTCCACATATTTGGAGATGCTGGGCGACCCATCATTATACTTATGCACAAACTGATAAATTAGAGGGGAAGAGTCGTTGTGTGGGAGATAGGGGAGAGCAGACCATAGCGTGAGGGGAGAGTGAGAGAGAAGGCGGAGGATTAGAGAAGAAGACGAGTTGACCATCTGAGGGGGCGAGAACGCACGTGTCTGAGCGCAGGAGGACATCGACTTTCACACCGCTGAAGGCGCACGGATCTGACCCCCGCCGCAGTCCAGATTCGTGCGCGTCACACGAACTGACGCGCGCACGTAGAGCTGTTGGGCACGGCTGAGAGAAACGCTCGTGAGTGGTTTGACGGGCTCCCCACTACGGGAAACGAACTGGAAGAGCTGCGCGAGTCATCACCTTGGCTCTGTGGGAATGAAAATGAGTTGGGCGGGAGGCTGAGGGAGCCGCTCGGGATAAGGGAGCACAAACTGTGTATGAGAGAGAGAGGGAGAGAGAGTAGAGTGGGAGGGAAACGGAGCTCGAGCCTTATTTTTTTAGATTGCACGTACCTGGCCTCAAAGGATTCCACGTGTATCTAAACTGGAGCCAATGAGACGGCTCGTTGGATAGAACGAGCACGGTCCGACTTCACGAGAGTGCTACGCTGGGAGAGATGCTACATGCAGGGAGATTCGACGGGGGTGGTAGAAGCCGCGCGGGAAAGATAGCCGCAGCGAGGGAGAGAACGAGCCGCGAGCGAGAGAGAGAAAGAGCGGGAGAGAGGGAGAGAGAGAGCATAAGAGGATGAATGTTTTTCCCGTTTTGTGAAAGATTTATGTCAACTAGGGTGTGGTGGTGTATCTTTCCAAACTCCAGCGGTGGATACATTTATGCTTTCTTTTATGGTGGGCATGGCTCATATTGCTGAGCAGATAAAGGAAATGGTAACGCATCTTACCGCATTTTAGCTAAAGATTCATGCCAACTTCACCCGGTGTGTAAAGGGGGGGAGGGCCGCAGATTATGCCAACACATCCTCCGGTGATT